GCAGAAGGTTTGGAAAATCCTTTCCCTGGGGTCAGTTTAAGAAGACTTTTCAGTTGCTTSTGAGACTCAATGAGCTGAACACCTTCATTTTCATTCATTAAATAAGCTAGAATTAGAGTATAGCTCCCACTATCTATTCTAAATTATAGAAAATTATATTTGGTTATCCTTTTTAATTGCTGAAATAAGGACTGAGATTATTTTGATTAGAGCCATGTCTCTTTTTGCCACTCAAATATTGATGGTGACAAATCTTGTATGCTTGAAAGTGCCAGTGCTTTACTGGTAATCTTTTAAATGTTATTTCAGCACTAGAAGCAAAGTTCTGCATTTCAGCTTTTACATCTATTGATTTATATTTTTTTTAATCTTGTAATCTTTTTCTCACCTATAACATCAGAATGTAAGCTCTTTGATTGCCATATGAGTCTAAACTGATCAAAGGTCATCACATTTTGATTAGTCTTTATCAATATTTTTTCTTGTATGACTCCACAAAGTTTTTATTTTTGTACTGTTTTCCTCTGCACTAAGGTGTGGATAAAATTAGAGAGCAATTTGTTCACACAGGTGCGGCATGTYCAAGTTTAAATATTTATTTGCAATTGTTAATGTTGTTGGGAGAATCCCCTTTCTTTTAAGTGTATGAGAAAAGTGGTAATAATCATCACAATAATAGAACATCTGGATATTGAATGCTACSCTGCTGCACTCCAAAAGCAGAAAGCTTTTCATTAATATTTATCCTCTGATCCTGCTACTCTGTTAAATTAGGTTGTCTAGTCTTAGACCATTAGCACCATTGTACCCTGCATTCAGCCAGTCTCTTTCTTTACATATGAAAAATTGCCTTGATTCTAAAGCCAAGTATRAAAATTAGGATAGATAGAGATGCAGATACTCAGGCATAGATGGCTGCAGGAATTTGATTCTGAAAGGTATTCCGGTTCATGCACAGACCAAACTGTGGTGGATTTGTGAACACTGTCCCTCATAATCTGAACTGAGTGCATTTACAAGAAGAATCACACAAACAATGAGAAAAATACAATTTCCTTAGAAGCAGAGATAGCATTTTCAAAGTTCATAATAGAATTCCGTTTAACTTGAATATCTAGTCATAGACTCAGTAGTACATTGTGTAATAACATTGGCATTGCTTGCATTTGGATTAGATTTATGTTTTAATTACAGATTTTCACCAAGATAAATTTGCAGTAGGTTACGGAGGAAGGGTTATGAATTGCCTCGTATCAGATTGTGTCTCGTGGTTATATGGGTGTATTAGATTAGATAGACTGCTKTAACTCTTGTTTAACCCTTCAGCCCCTGTGTTCCCAGAACTGCTTCTTGTGAGTCCTGTGCCATCTTAAAGTCACAAATGCAGCTCTGATACTGATTTAAAGGATCAGAGCATTTCTTGTTTCCCTTTTATTTCTTGTGAACACTGAATATACACAGTTCATACCATACAGAGGCCAACTTTATATCATCTTATTTCTTATGTGCCACAGGACATGCAGCCATATCAGTGAAACTTCCATTTTATTTTGCAGATTTTGTAGTAGCCCCCTGTAGTTATCAAGAAGTACAAAATAAATGTAGTCCTTGGCATTTCCCATTGATCCTGGTCAGAGATCTATCACAGAGCATGCTGAGGCTCCTTCTAGCAGTCACAATCATGTTTACTTTTGATGGAAAATAAGGTGCRTGGTAAGCAGATTGATGAATTTATGTATATTACCACAACATAAAAGCAGGATCTGAGAAAAGCATGCACTAACATCCAGTAAGCACASCTAAGTCCTGCCTAAAATTTACTTTTTGAACACATAATCCCTGTAAAAGTGAGTGCATGTGGTTTCCAGCAAGAATAAGACAAAGCTCATCACATATTTGTCTGCAAACTAGAATTGTGTTTTTTTGTTCTAAGTCCATCTTTAGCCTTCTTGGAAAAGATCATGGCAGAAGGAGTGGCCAGCCTTGAGAGCCACCCKCATGCATCTCTGTGATAAGCTCTGCATTTCCAGGTAGGCTGCAGATCAGTTGTCAAGAGAATGAAATAATGGCAAATCATCTACTCTTCAGAGAATTCTCTTATTTATGAATCCAGTCTGAAAAGGCTGATGAATGAAAACATTCCAGCCATGTGAAGTTTACAGCTATGAATCATTTTGTCTTGAGTTTGAGCAACTTTTCCTCAAGCTTCTGAAACTTGTTCTCAAACAAGGTGACAGGTTCCCTTTCCACTATTTCACATGCAGTAACAAATCTTGCCCCCTTTGCCATATGACAGCACTATTACTTTTAAGATTGTGTACTCCCAGGCATCATTTTTCAGTCTGTGGGATGGGTGGCATAATAGGCTGCAGAAAGAAGAGAGGRGATGGAGAGAAGAGGGCAGACCCTTCAGGGCTTGAGGAAACAACAAGCCAGAGAAGCCCTGGAGGTGCCCAAAATCCCTTCCAGAAGGGAGAGGCAGAGATGGCTGCACYTCAGGAGGTTGCTGTTAGCCACAGAGGGACGCATTTGGTTGATTAAACGTTAACATCAGAGCCCTTGTCACACTCATTGTCTTTGACCAGCTACAAATAGTGATTTATGCCTGATAACTGTCTGTCCCCACCCCTGGGTAAGGAGCCAGTGGTTCCCAAATTGGTGTTTCACATAAGCAACACTAATCCTGGGATAACACATAATAAATAGACCCCAGACTGTTTCTTTTTCAGAAGTCATTCCATTTTTTTTACTGCCCTTGGCCTTGTTCTGTAGGCTTCAGGGAGTAAATCTTGTCATTGGATTTTTGGGAATCTCCACTGATTTTTTGACAAAATTTCCATTTCCATCCTTCCCTGAAYCACCCTATTTCTTGTTACAATTCCATCAGTTTTTTCTGCAATCTCTCCAGCAATTCAGAAAAAGCAGTACATTATTAAATGTTAGGAATTGATTTCAAGCAGTAAGGGGAAAAGAAAYGGCTTGCAATTATTACATTGTACAGTGAAGTTCCTTAGGTGCTGGTCTCTTCCTCATCTTACAGGTTGGAGAATCTAAATAAAAATGTCCAGAGTATTCCAGAGTGTAAAGTCACTGCCCATCTATGGACCATGACAGACAGAGSACACAGGACTCACTATGACTTGGAATCATGCTGGTATAAAACAAGCATTTTGCATCTGCAGTGAGAATTTCCAGGATCTTTCCTTCACTGGAAATCATGTCTTTACCTGGACTGTTGCGGATAAACACATTCTTGCACTGAAGTTGTATTTAACAGGCAAAATGACAAACATTGGGCTGTACCAATGATCCAACGTGGTCTGAGGATAGTGCAGATCCAGGTKTTTGTTCATTTGGGGCTTTTTTCCTCTCACTCTTAGACTGATTTTGAGCTGGCTGATAACTTGTGTTGTACGACTTGGTCTCTTTGGGCAGGGATTTACCCTGGTCAGCAGCTTCATTACTAAATAAACTCAAGTCTTGTCTTCTCCAAGTGTGCATACCCTTCATAAGTTGCATTTTAAGTTATACGTCCCCTCTACACATGGCATGCCCTGGACATGGCACGTACAAAATAGAAATTAAGAGTTTCTGACAGACTGAGTGTTTGTAAAATGTCAATAAAATAATATGAAAACTCCCCTGGATGTRTAGAGGTTCTCTGTTCCCTTACAAACCTGAGTATTAACCTATTACATTTTTTTTTCCTCACATATCTGATATTTTTCAAGTTGAATAAGCTTAATCACAAAAAAAAAAAATCTGTCACTCAAACAAGTAGGCTTTCTGTCAGAAGAAAATAAGTATTTTGTGAAATGCCTTAAAGTATATCTAAAATCCACTAACCTTTTCAAAGTGAAGTTACAACACTTAGGTAAATGGGAGGAATCTTATATTTAAGGAAGAAATTAGATAATATATTAATTATAGTCTCTATCCAAAAGATTACATGTACATTGTATATCCTACTATTTCAATTTAAATACATGCTCCTCACAGTTTCAAATTTTGGTAACAGACTGTAAAAAAAATCAATACTTTCTCTTACTATAGTTGCTCAAATTATTTCCACTATTTGAAGTGCAAGTTAAATGCAGTTATTTTAGATATTGATCATTGTTGCCTTCCTACTGCTCCTTCCCTCACAGAATCATTAGGTTGCTTTCGTGTGTTTATTTTTCAATGTAGTTTTCTCAGCCATCTCCTTGTATTCCTACTGGGGAGATAGTGACCCACCTGCTGCCCTRTGCTAATGTGATTTGTTACACATGACTGAAGTTAACTCAGCATGTTTTGTATAAATGTATGTGCATATTACTCAGAAGAGGTTAAGAGTCCAACAGAATSCACCTGAAACCTATTCTTCTCCTGGTTATATCTCTTTTATGAACTAGATTTCCTTCTGAACAGGCTGGAAACACCTTTTAAGTAACTTATACCTGCTCTAATGTCGCTGCATGGTATCATAAACTTAAATGGTGCCCTGTGGGTGTCACAGCTGGAATGTTAAACATATGTCAAGGACTTTCCTGCTCAGTTTGGAGACAAATCCTACTCCAGTGGAGTAAAGCTAGCTTTAAGGCACCACACAAAATATTACAGATTACTGATCTATCAAGTAACTAATGACAGGGAATAAATGTTCTTCTTCCAAGTCATCCTCACTCACGTCATTGTCCAAGACGTATCTAGTGAGCAGCACTGAGTTTATGCACAGCAGTCGATGTGTCTGGTCTCCATACGCTGCAGTGGTAATTCCCAAGGAACATAATTCTCAGGGATCTCTGTTAAGTCAGGAATTCTCAGCAGCTGCCCAAGATCAACTGCTCRGAGATTAACAGGAGACTTTTGCACAGAGTGTTCCTTCTTAAGTTCTCAAAGTGGATTTCATGACTACACTACAGCTACCTGGAGAGAGACACTGAGCTCAGCAGTTGAGCCATGCTCGAAGTTGACAGGCTTTAAAGAAAAAGTTAATTCCTATTTTCTTTTACCCACAGGTCTACCCACGGATAGCGCCGGCATTTTGGCACTACCTGCGGGTAGAAGTGAGTAGCGGGTATTTGAATACTCCCACATCTTTGCTTTACAGCTTGGTAGTGTTTACTGACTTACTACTTTGTCCATTGCACAAATATAATGAGCTGCCATTCTAGTTGCCATTCTTCTGTGAATGTAGTCTTGTACTAATTCCATGCTGGTTTGACTGCAGTTGGGTTGGTTACTAACCCAAGTCACAAAAACATGTCTGTATGCAAGGTTAAAGGCAAAAAACTGAAATCTGAAAGTCAAGGCCATATCATGCATTCTGACTATAGCACAGAATCAAAGTATGGAAATCCATACCTGCACCTCCTTTTATAAACACATTTTACATTCATGAGAAGAATATGGAGCTTCAGTTCTGTTATATCATATTTGCAAAGTTTGTTCAACTCAACTTGATATCATTTCTTCCCTCTTTTGTCCCTCAGGAGCATGAGCAGCTCAGCTATTCCTCCACAAGGTCCAAGGCTCCAAGTGTTATCATCACAGGTCTCAAGCCAGCCACCAAGTATATATTTCATATCAGAGTCAGGACGGCAGCAGGATACAGCGGCTATAGCCAGAAGTTTGAATTTGAAACTGGAGATGAAAGTAAGTTTCACTGAAGGGAAAAAATAAATRAATACAGTAGAAGTAGCAACTAATTCTAAACCAGTGAGACACTGGGAGTTTGAATGGCTGAACCCATAACATTTGCTTATCACAAGATGACCACTGCTATGTGATAAAACACAAGCCTCAGACTCACACTTCTGGATTTACAACAACAAATAGAAATGTTAGCCCAATGCTACAACTGAAGGAATGTTCTCTTCCATTAAATTTCTTTATGGGTCCTTTCCAAGCTGAGATGCTTTCAGATTCTGTGACCTTTTCATTCCTGGTAGAAGGCCTGCTTCTTGACATCTGGAAATACCCTTTGTCAGGCTTTACCTAAGTCCAGCAGCTTCATACAAGCTCCCAGTGATGAGCTCTTCACTCTGTACTCCCAGTGCTCCCCAACTCCACAAATAAAAAATKAAAACTTTTATATGCATTTCCATCAGCCAGTAGACCTACTAAATTTGGCAGTAAGAAGCAAGAAGCCTTCCTAATRCCACAAAATATGCAAAAGGCTTCATGTGTGATGTTCATGCTCTGAGCAATTTTACATATAAGTCATGTGTTGCCTTCCACGTTCAAAGAAACATAGAAAAAGGTATTTACATGTGTTGAGAGAAAATTAGTGCAGTAGATACAACACCAAAACATTCATTAATTAAATTACTTTAATTAGCCAATTATGTGTACCATGTTTTTCATTAGTGTTTTAGAATTCAAGTTGTTTAAGCTAATGTACAGACTCAAAACTATGTAAGTGCTTCCAAGAGCACCCAGGGATTTGTGTTCCACTTTCATTGCTTCTTAACTTCTATTTCAAAAATCAATCAGGGATAGATTTCCAAGTGCTTAATGCCTAATTGTACTTTAAAAAATTTTCTGGGTACTTAAGCCAATTGGTTTGAATAAGAGTTGAGCACTTGGGTGCTTTCAAGAATTTCAGTAGATCTCATCTGTATCTTCTGGTGCAATAAATATGAGGCTTAATTCTTGCAAAAAGAAAATAGTATTTAAAACCTCTCTGATGTTTCACATTGTGAAAATGTCACTAGCCCATCTAAATCAGGAAGGCTGTGATTCCAGTGACATTTCCCTCATTGGTATTGAGGGAATCTCCTGGGAGTGACATTCCCCTCACTCCATCCTAACCCCATCTCTCCTTCTCAGTGCACTGATGCAGCTGGCCCTTGGGCTGTGTGGTGAGGGTAATTTTAACATCCTTTTCAAARCAGAGCATCAGAGCTGAAGTTGATACTGAAATAAACTGGAAAAATAAATCTGATTACGATATCATAAACAGACCTAACACACCTAACCTCCCAATAATTCTGTTTTCTTTTACTTGTAAGTTCGAAGCACTGGCACCCAAATCCACACATTGTTTCGCACRGCTGAATGACAGAATATAGCGATGTTTTTGTTAGTATTTCAAGATACTGACTGACATTTACACAGACAGGTTTGGGAGAGTTGTGTTGAGGTTTGGGCTGCTTGGTTCTGTCAATACAGTAATGAATGTTAATTGGCCCTTGCTGGCCTGCATCTGTCTTACAAACCAGTCCTAGTCCAGCTGTGTAGGAATCTCTCTTCATCATTCACTAGTCTGGCAGTGTGCAGCTCARCTGAAAATTTGCTGATTTTTTCTTTTTTCTCAGTTATTCTGAAAGATAACAAATAGTATTTGGCCAAGACAGACTATGCAGTTCCCTCCATACCTGCTCATTAGAAACAAGTTACATGGTGAAAATTCCACTTTWGCAATTACTTTGTGTGGACTTTCAGTTAGATGGATTTTAATTAACTCAGGATTAACATTTTTCATGAGAAGGCTAGGAAGAATAGAGTATTTTAAAAGTCTGTGTTGTCAACAGAAAATTTATCAACCAAYATGAAACAACCTCACATGAAAATAACAAAAAATATTTTTAAGTCATGTGTTTGATAAAATCCTCATCAATTTGCCTTCGCTTGTAATATCCCTCAGCTCTCTGCCAATTTTATGTTACAGAAGAATTCTCAGACCAATTGCCAGTAAACATCCAAGGTTATGCCATTTACCCTGCTTGAATATTGACAGAATTTGTTAATAGATAGTAGTTAAGCAAGCAATCAAAAATTACTTTTCTTTAAAGTAATAGACTAATTATAAAAAATTAGTGGTTCATCAGCTGAGAGATGTGTAGATCAGTGTCCTGAAACACACTGTCCTTGGCAGTGTTGTCCTGCCTTCTCTGACATACTGGGTGAAACACTACCTGTGTCACTTCAGTTACAAGGGATAAAATAGATACACCATCACTAGGAACACAAAGACATTTTGGTGGGATAACTACAGGTGGTGCATGAGGGAGAAAGAAGGTCAAATCTGCAGCACCAATGTAAAAAGATAATTATTAATGCTGGTGTGTTTTTTGAGAAGCACCCTCACTTCCCTCACTTGCTGACCCATAGGCTGAGGCAGTCATGGCTTAGGGAGAATTTTGTTGAACTCTTCTCCCTGCTGCATAGACGAAACAAGTGGAGCAACCAAACGAGTAAAATATGTCTTTTCTTTGTGATAGAAAATGTATTTACCTGGGTTAGTCAGAAAAATTCTCTTCAAGGAAGCAGGGATGCATGAATGGATGCTAACAGGCATTTCTCCCCCTGTTAGAGCTCAGAGGCTGCAGCTGGGAAATGTAAAACGTTTCCAAAGCACAATAACCACCACTTGTGACTGCGTTTCTTGTTGCTGTTTTATTCAGTCTCTGTTTCAGCACCTGACAGACAAAACACTCTGAGCATATCTGGCAGGTTTTCATACACTCCAGCACACACACAGGTGCCACTGCTGGGGCTCTAAATTGGAGCATAAACCTCACTTGTAGCTCCTGTTTTTTTTCTGTCAGAATTACCAGCTATCCGAKTCACCACAAACAAAAAAACTCCTTCCTAACAGGCAAAAAAAAAAAAGTGTTCTGACAATAAAAAAAAAAAAGAATTCCTAGGGCAAATATGCTTTAGTTTCTGATTGTTACCCTCACTGTTTTTTTCCTCCTCTTTTTTAGCTAGCTTATAGAATATTTTCTTTGGTTGGTTGGTTTTATTGCTTTGTTGGGTTTTTTTAAATAATGCTTCAAAGCCTTTTTTTTCCCCTAGAGAAGTGGGTTTTTTTGCAATATTACCTCAGTGGTCCTTCTGCCCAGAGGAATTTGTAAAATATAAAACAATTTACAACTTTTAGGCAGTTCTCATGACAAAGCAGGGCTTGTTCTAAAACCAAGGGTATTTTCCTTGTCAGCCTTCCCATCATTAGGAAAAAATAATCTCAAAATGAAATGTTTGGCTTGTTCTGGAAGGGACCTAAGGGACAAAGTAGCATTTATGCAGTGTACGCTTGTGCTTGGGCTGAACAGAGTGATAAATGTGAGCACATGATGATATTTAATCCAAAAGCAATGTAGACTTTGTATATTTCAAATTACTAACATAAAACCCTAAACATTTCAGAAATGCTAATKGAATACCTGATTAGGTGTTTTATAAAGTTGAAGACTGAAAAAACAACTGGCTGAAACCCAACCTTGATGAATCAAGACCTTTAATTTCTTTACCATAGTCTCAGATGGTGACTTTCACGTATTGCTAGACCTGCTGAATTTTCACATTCTTCTCCCTCTTCCCACATCCATAAAATCATGCAATTTTGGATTTGCCACAAGATATGACTCTGTTCYTTCCAGAACTCCAAACTCAAGAGAAGGCTCTGAATTATTGATTCCAGTACAGGTTTAAGCACATGCCCTGGATCATGCCATGAGAGAGAAGCCATCCCTAGGATTTTTACAAATATATTGAGTTGCAAAATGGAGATGACTTTTTTTAATTTACACTTAATGTTTTGACAATTGTGACTTGAATTYCTTGTTGAAACAAACAAATCAGATTACACATATCTCATATTTAGAAACTACTTTGTTGGATCTCTCCCCACCTCTGCCTCGTTCTACTGTTCATTCAGTATTAGTCAGCTCTGGATACCAAAGAATGACTCATTTTAATCTTTAAGTATTTCCTTGCTGTGTTTAATATTTTCAGCTATTTGTTCTTCACATTTGGTTTGGTCTGTCTGGTTGCACGACTGTGTGTGTCCAGAAAACCCAGAGATTTCACTTTTCCTCTGCATTTCATAAACCAAAGCAACATCCTCGTTCACATCTCAAACTGCTTACACAGGCTTTCCATTTCTCCACTGACCAGGAAGTGAATGTTAGGGGAAACACTTGGAAGAAAGCTTTTCAAGTGAATATACACCAATAAGTTTTATATTCTTATGCTAGTGAGAGCATTGTYTTTTCATTCTAAAAGCCCTTTTCCAGATCATCTTTCCTTTGCCTTCTCATTTCCCCCTTGACTGGAGCCCATCRGTTCACTGCATCCCAGGAACTGCAGCCCCTGTTAAATGTAAAGGTTGCCCTAATGAGATTTTGTGTKTTTCTTGCCTGTTGTTCTTAAGCACCTTTGTTGAGAGTGCCTTGAAAAGCACTGTTGTTTACAGTGCACCTGACAGCCTGTTCCTGTCTATTAGAGCTCCAGTTCCCAGTGTCCACACTTATCTGTCCTACAGCTACTCACTGTTATCAGTCTAGCTGTCTTTCTGTCACTTTTTTATCTTTCAATCTGCTGGAGGGTCTGCTGCTTGATAAATGTCAAACTGAAGTAACAAAAGGATGGAGCTAAGAGAGAGAAGTGAGCTGTCATTAGGGCTTCCAGCTCTTTTACACCAAATACACAAACTTGTAAAATATTTTGGAGAAATTTGCTCAGAGCTGAAAGATTCCCTCTGTCTTTCAACCTCTTGCACTGTGACTAGAACGTCTGCACCATTTCTTCCAGTCTGCCCAATGAGGAAATGAGGAAACCTCAGGATATTTCTCTTCAGCCCAGAGAGGATGGAAAGGGCAGCCCCTCATCTATACATTTGGGTGAAAAACCCAGAGAGAAGCTGAGACGGGGCATGGATGTAAAGAGTAAATTGTAGGGGCAGAGCTGGATGCAGAAGGATTTCTGGGATGGTGTTAAGCAAGGAAGCTGGAACAATGCAATTGGAAACTTTAAGTATCATTTCAAGCACGTAAACTCAGTTAGACATGAAGAGTAATGGCAGTGAGGAGTTTATCTGGATAAAAAGCTCCTGGGTGGGTACCTGATCCATGCTGCAGTTTTAAAATCAAGCCATCACTTTGACCAATCACACTAGTTGCAGGTACAATGTGCTTGAAGAGTTTTTCCACCCAAATATTACAGTGTACTACTGAAACCTCTGCTGGGATAAGCCATAAATTSTCCCTTTTCCTTGTCTCTGTTACTCATTTTTTAAACTATTTATTCTGTCAAAATGAACTTATTGAGCAGACAGGTAGAGAGAATGAGACACGGTACCAAGCTAAGCAGTCAGCCCAGTTAGAGAGGTGCTAAGCTCCCTTAGCACTGCTCATGGTTTATGATAAAGTTGAAGTGCCCTGGACAGTGTAGAGACAGCTAAATATTGATTTTATCTCTATGAATGCTGGCCATGTTGTCCAGCAAATGAGATTCTGGGGRAAAAAAAAAGCTATGTACTTCTGTGATTAAATGCAGTAGTCTCATATGTACACACACAGAGATGAAATGAGGTTGCAGGGACTTGCTTGACTTTGCTACCAGTCATAGTTGTTTTTCTCTGTCTTGCATAATCAAGAATAGTTCTGAGGAGAAAGACAGGGTCGTAGWTCAATATACACAGGAAAAATAAGGAAGGAAAAAAATACTCAAGATCATTTACAACAGAAACAATTAAAGCTGTTAGTGTTTATAGCTTGACCTTTATCTCAAGAGAAAACTGGAGAAATGATGAATAGARAGATTGAGAGACATATGGAATTTAATTTAGAATAGCAAAATGCTGTAAGAATTGTAGGTGTTGAAAGTCCCTGATTACTGTCTTCTCACTGCCTAAATAGTTTTTTGTGGAAGCTTTTACCTGCATGTACCAAGTCTGTGTATGTACATACTCGTGTGCTTACATATGTGCTGTTCACTGCACTGTGTCTTTCTTGATTTTATTGAGGAACCACTTCAAGSAAAAATAAGTATTTCCATCATTTTGCCTTACCTGCCTCTCTGTCAGTTTTTAACAAATCCACATTTTCCAATTATACCTGTCTGTCATTTGACACTTTTATCTGACAAGTAAATTAAGGTCATCTGGAAGTTTCAAGCTTGAAAGCTCTTTCTAGTGATTTAGCTACATGAAAAAAAAAATCCTAATGTGTTTGACTGTGGCATCTCTGCCAACACAGAAAAATAAAAACGAGAAACAGAATGATTACCTTTTAAGTAAGTACAGTCTCATCTAAAAATCATATTGCTTGCAGGCAGAAAAAGTCAGCCTGGAATTTCTCCCCTTCTTTAACAGGACTTTGGTTCCTGATAGAAAATACATGTTATTAAGTGGTTGGATTGGATTCTGTTTTAGTTAGTACACCATAAAACAGCAGCTTCACCCACCAGACATGATCCAGGACACATCTTCATCTCTTTAGCTGCAGGTGCTTCTTTAGACCATGGAGTCAGTCCCTACATTTGCACCAGGAAAGTTCCTGTTGTTGCCTTGGCAGTGAATATCTGTTGAAGAAAATCACAGCTGTTTTGTCTGAGCTCGTGGTTTGCTTTCTTCCTGCAAATTCACTATTTTTGCACACATCTTCCTTTTAAAAACAAAAGGAGAGCTGCAGTTTGTCCTCTCTCTTCCACTACAGAGATGGGCAAGAAAGATTCCTCTGAAACCTTCTGCATGTACAACTTCAAACCATGCCTGACTGTAAAAACTCTGCAACATTTAGCACAGCTCCCACTATTTTATTATATGAAATAAGATTCAGCATTTGGTTTGGAGAGCCTCTTTTTATTTGCAGTGTTACTTTTGTGCCATGATATTTGTTATGCTGTACTTTTCCAACTAAATCTGTGGAAGGTAACAGAGCTGGAATCCACTGCCATAACATCACTAGATGTCATTTAACTATTCAGTGAATGTTTGCCACATCATTTACTGGAAGATGTTTATATTTAACTTGTCTGACCACCGATACTGAATGCCTTGTAATTTACTGCCTGTGCATGCTTYCATAAAATTATATGGACAGAAACCTAATGGCAGAAATTTAACAAGTTGATTCTACTGAAAATTTGACATAAATTACARTTGGTTTTATTTGCTTTGCCACTGTTACAAAGCCAGTTTACACCATGACTTTCWAAACCACACACCAATATTATTTAGAAGCCAAATGTTTTTCTTGGAAACATCATTTTATGGGGCTTTGGATAGCAATGTGTGTATTGTATTGAGTTTCAACAACTGTACCGTGACAGCATATAGCCTGCTGAGCTTCCTAGGCAGCAGCCTTGGTGATTTCCCTWAGCTTTAATCACCTGGTGCCTAAAGAAAGCTGAAGATTTTGCTCATTGAACAATTTGCAAGTTTACCAATTCAAAGTTGTTTCCCTGGTGTAAAAATTTTCTCTTCTGTATTTACTACTGTTCTCAGAAGCCATTGAATAGAATTATTTATTCTCCTTTCAAAACAATGTTTTATTTCCCATGGAAATAAGAAGTAAGAATTGGGTAAATGTCATGTGGTGTAARTGTTCAAGTATTTACAGAGTTTAACAAATAAAAAGTCAGAGTCACAAGAAAGGAGAGAGAGATAAAAATGAGCCTAATTCTTTTTCTGCTCATGTAGCATTTAGGCCATAAGGATCACCAGGACTGGAAGTAGGTACCTCATCAATGTAAAGATTTATTATTATACACAATAAATTTACAAAAAGAGGAAGTGTCCAGAGACTGGATAATTTCCTTTATTAGGAACTCTTTTAACTCCTAAACATCCTACAAAAAGCAGAGGGAAAAAAAAAAAGAAGCCTAAGAATTTTTTTTTTTTTTTTAGCTTTTGTCAACTGAGCTGCTAATCACCAAAGCATGTTATGGTAAATTTTATGTGTTTTGTGACAATGAAACTAAACACCAGACATGCTTGAAGAGTGTGTGAAGCTGCACATTAGGTGTGAATTTTTTGCTTTGCTTCCTCCTGAACCCCGTTTAGTATCTCTTACATACACAGCACTTCTTCTGACTTCACTRGGACAGCAGGATGAAAAGCACTTCTGAATTAGATGCAGGATTAAGATAAATAAAGCTAAGGAAGACAGTTTTGTGTCCAAAATCCTAACATATTTAAACTTTAGTAAATTGCAAGTATCTGATAGTGACAAATTCTCATTTTATAAATCTGTAAACATCTTCTCCCTCCGTCCTAGATGGGACATGGATTATGATTTCTCACTTCACAAACATGTTCTCATCTGATGTCCTTGCTAMGCACTAAGGAAATGATTACAAACAAATTGCAACATTTGACCATTGAAATTATTTCACCCCTTCTGTAAAATGCCTGGGAGATAGATGGAGCATCAACCTCTTTTCTCTGTGCTTCTCTTTCAGCTTCTGATATGGCTGCAGAGCAGGGACAGATTCTTGTAATTGCCACTGCTGCTGTTGGYGGATTCACTCTCCTGGTCATCCTCACTTTGTTCTTCCTCATCACTGGCAGGTAATTAAAACATTCTTCTCATATAGTCCCATCTACAATTAAGAGTAACATTTAAGTCATTAAATCACATCTTCAGTGCTAAAATTAGARTTAGACATAGCCTTTGTTTAGCATTGGTCATACAGTTTTGTAAGTGTTGTTTTTCATAAAGACATAGTTTGGGGAGATATGCAGTTATGTAAGATCAGGAAATGGTTTGGATCTTTCAAAAATAAGTTTCTGGACCTCTTGCCTGCAGAGTGAATATTTAAAAATACAGCATACCTGCTGCACCCTCAAGGCTCTGAAATTACAAGGAAAAAAAAAGAAGAAAAAAATCCCTACTGTATATTTTACAAAATCTCRTAACTGTCAATTGCAAAGCTTTAGAGGATTTAACCTTGGGATTTTTGATGTCTTGAGGGTTGGTAATGTGACTTGCTAAAGGCACTTGAATGAAAAAAGTTTTATTACTTTCACTTTATTAAACTTGTAGGAAAAGTCACATACAATTATRTATATATTTCCTCTGCATATTCCTGCATCTGTTGTGAATATAGGGGTTATGTAATTGTGTAAACGAAGGAAAACTGTACTCTGAAACACTAAAATTATTCTACTGCCTGTGATATCACTGATGAACACAAAATAGCTTCCTAAAGGTTCTGTTTTATGGCTTTTATTTTTTTTTTTTATTTTATTTTTTTTTTAAGGAAGGTGTCTCAATTAAATCTGTGTTGCAGCAGTGCTGTTGCACCAGCAGGGGTGTTCCCCAGTCTGGACAATGTGGAGTTTTTTATAGCCAGCCTGTTTCTTGTACTTACAATTCTTTTCGTGCAATGCTGTTCATCCACCTTTCTTCTGTGGTGATCAGGATCATATAATGACATTATTTGCAATTAAGATGAGAAAATATTTTGCTTTGAGTGGTCAGATGCCAGGCTGAGTTGCACACTGAAGATTTCAATTGCACATGCTAAAAAAGACATATCTAGGATGGAACATCAGTCCTGGCTGGACCTCAGATTTCCACAGGCCCAGGCCTCTTTCCAGGGTGCCTTGTTTCCTTTTTCCCTGAGCTTGGGGTGTTTCCTGCATGATTTCCAGACTTCACCTCCTTTCACCACCAGGAACCAAATCAAAATTGAAAAGGACAAAACCATTACATCCCCATGTCCTCTGTGACACCAGTGACACCACGGTGATKCCATGGATCAGAGAAGGCTGAATCCAGACTGATGCTCTGTATGGACAAGGTCTTCCAGGCAGAGGGATTGGGTTCAGARCTCCTGCAGCAGGTCCTGTGGCAGGGCTTGTGTAGGCTCTGGGCCCTCTCTGCCCTTTTCCCCTCTCCCTCCTCAGACACAAAAATCAGATGCTTGGAAGAGCCTCCAAGTAAGTAGGACTGTCCATGAGTATCCTTCTTATCTGGTTTGAGGACAGAAAAAATCCAGAACTAGGATAGGATTCTACACTGCTCCTGTCATGGTTTGGATCCTGATAACACTTGGAGAAACGATGTGACACTGACTATTCTGAATGTGATAGTGGTCATCACTGACAGGGCTGATACCAATAGAGGGTGCTGCATTTTGAAATTTGCAATTACACATTTGTTTTCTTGGTATAGCATTACCTCTATTTGGAAAAGAAAGTGAAATTCTATCAGTGTGGGCCAGAGGTTTTATTTGCAATATCCCAGCAATTAAATATGGCCCTGCAGTAGCTGCCATTATGTGAATTAATGCCCTCTCTGCTAAATATTAAAACCAGTTAAATCTAACGTTCTGTTGAAGGTAATGAGAGCAGTTAACCTTGGAACACATTGTGGCCTTAGATTATCTTAGAGGCTAAGTAAGTATTCCTACAATTACCTCAGAAGGTGACAAACAGTCGGGTCTTTCAGAAAAGAGAGGAATTGTTTAGACAGGGACAAATTTCCAGAGAAAATGATTGTGTGGAATCCTTCTGTGAAATCCTGAAACATAACTTAAAATACTTCCTTTAAAAAAAAAAAAAAAAAAAAAAAAAAAAAAAAAAGGGTTTCTTTCTATTCAAAGGGACCATTCAGTTATGTAAGATATGAATTCATTTTGAAGTGCGGCTTAAATGCAGTGATAAGTGTGTGTTCCACAGAAGACAGAACAAGAAAATTTTGAATAAATACTCCATTTACTCTAGGACTGGAGGCAAATTTCAGGATGAAAAATGGGACTGGTACCCTACAGATGTGCTTTGCTTCACTGTTTAGAATTAACAATTTGATGAGCTGTCGAGTCTCAGGGCTGCTGATGAGCCTATTCAGATGGAGAGGCTGGTTAAATGAGCACCTGCCTCTGCACTTTGCTGAGTGATTATCCACCAGGAGCAAGCAGGAAGCACGGCTGTCAACTGCAGATAGGAATATGAAAGCAGCAGAGATGTCCAAGGCACAGGACTGGGATCTTGGTTCACTTCCAGGAAATGGGATGGTAAAGCTCAGTCTGATTTAGTCTTATCTCTGATTGTTCTGTGGCCAACACCAGCAGCAAATGAGGAAACTCCTCTGCTGGTGATTAATCACTGGCTTCTGTAGTTAAGCTTTGTTTGTTTAGGAGAGTTGGGTAAGAAAGAGTTCTTTCTTTGATTGTCCCCTTGGGGAAACACATTGAGTGTAAGAACTTAGGTATAGGGCTCTTGGCAGGMTGCACCCTACAGACCAGTTTTCAGGTCCTAAAAATGGCATTGGCATCTTTAATGAGTCCCAGGAACTGCAGCTCAGTCTCAAGCTTTCCACAGAATCTGAGAATGCAGTGGTTTGCATTTCCCTCCACGAGGGTCCATCACCATGGCAGCTTCAGAAGTTTCTGCCCTTCATTTGCTCATCATCACCTGCGTAGCAGTGAAGGAATTTGTGACTGTTCCTGCTGTGTTCAGKAGTTTAAGGCAACCATTGAAATGGGATGGGTTTGTTCACTTAYTTCTCACATCTCCACTGCTAGTATGGATATACTGATACTTTTTGTTTATTTAATTTTATAATGCTGGTGATGTTCACACAGAGGACAGTCATATTTTTTCAAGCTGTTCTTGGAACTGTATGTCTATACACCAAAGCATATGTCCCTAGTCACTGCTGCTCTCCCTGGGATTCAGTGGCACTACAGCCCTCAGCCATAGCTTAAACCAAGATTTCCCTCTAAATAGAAACTTTTAGGTTGTTCATTGAGTGACAAAGAGCCTTAAGACTAAGAGCMAATATTTTGGTTTTTCTTGACTGAAATATTTGCTTCTGCCATGGGATCCTCTAAATCAGCCTTATCGGTCCTGCAGGTAGACATTGTTCAGCAGCTCAGACTGAACAGAGCCACTCAGCAAAAGAGAAAAAAAGTGGTCCTGATGTGAAAAAAATTACTTTATTTTTTCATGAAACATGATGCAGTCRTTATTATTCTATTATGAAGAAAATGAGAGGTTTTTTTGACCCACTGGATACAAAAGTTAATGGGATAAGGTTTAACTACCACAGGCCTACGTATGCAAACMGGAAGGCAGGAAAGTAATAATTTCTTGAGGTATCATAATTCTTCAGAGGAGTAAAACTTGAAAATAAAGTATTGCATCAAACTTTATCTTTTTAGTCATGCTAATCAATTCARCCATTATCTGTTTTTCTTTGTATATGATCTGTGTGTAGTTCATCACACATATTTCCCTCTTTAGATTCATAAGTAAATATATGTTCCAAATGCAAAAATTTTGTCTTTCATAAAAGTGCAGATAAAACTTACTGTGCATCTATTTTATTCACGGCAAGGATTTAATTTAAAACCTCATTTGTTTCTTTTGAAAGATGCCAGTGGTACATAAAGGCCAAAATGAAATCTGAGGAGAAAAGAAGGGCTCATTTGCAGAATGGACACTGTAAGTGATTCAACACCATTAATATCTATATCATGTTTTAAATTAAGAACATCCACTGTTTCCTGAACAACTTTTGCCCTTGATGTTTTAATCTGGTTATTTGAGTAGCTCCTTATTGTCTGTCTATAATCAAAGGTCTTTATTTTTGGTTGCATGTTCTCTTGAACAATTCCATTAAATTGATTCTAGTTATTAAAGATTATTTTTTTATTCAGCTAATAACATTTAGCAGTTTTTCAGGTATATGTCTTCGAATTTTCAGTTGTTCTGGATACTCCATTTCTGCCTTAAAATTCCTCTCTTGGTAACTGTATGACTTTTTTGTTATCTAGTCTCTTTGGATTTAGGGATCTACACTTCCAGCCACCCAAGAAATAAGAAGTGGAATGGGTTGTCTTCCCTCATGTTCCTGCTCACTGATCAGTACAGTGAGAGAAAATCCTTGTGATCTCTCATGGGCAGTAATTAGTTTATATAGCTTAGTTTAGCCAACTAGTTTAAATTAGTTGCATTACTGTTTTCTGTTAGAATAGTATTTTCTTTTTATTCAAAGAGTAATATGCAAAGGGTATAAAATTTTGTTTTCATTATTTTGATAACATCCCTGGAAATACTATGAGCRACACAGAAGTCACCTGAAGTAAAATATTTTTAAGGTGACATACTGCTTTGAGCCAAGTATCTCTTTCTCTCAGGGAAAAGGGCACATTTGCCCATAAAATTAAGTTCCTAGAAAGATGTTTTTGTCATTTGTTTCCAAACATGGCCCAAAATRAAAGAATACAAAAACCCTCCTGCTGGAGAGTTTGATATATGGCTCTGAGACTGACTGAATTTTAAAAAAGCCTCACTCAGTGTCTTTCAGGCCAGGGTAAATGATGAGTGTATTTCATGTTGACACAAAGCTTCATCTCAGAGRCTTCCCATTCATTTGTAGTTATCTGTGCGTCATGCTGGAGGGGGCAAGGCTCTGCTCATATATGTGCTCCACASATCCAAGAATAAAGAGGAATGACTATTTAAGTAACAAGAGAAAGAAGGCTGAGAAATGCTTCATTCTTTTTTAAGGGATTCTCTGGACCCAGCAGCAGAAGTCTCTTTTTAGCCTGATAAGCTGGTGCATTATTAACATGAAATTCTGATAATGGGTTGAAAGTTTTCCAGAACTTCATCATGAGATAGCAGCAGCCTAAAAGAATTCCCATCCAGATAGTCCAGAAGAAACAACACAAGTTCTTGAACATGCTACAATCAGGAGCACAAGGGACATTAGCCATGCCAGAAAATGATGGCTTGCTGGAGCCTGCCAAAGCRGTCTGGCACCAACCTACTATTGCCATGGCCATCTCCAGGGAAACAGGCAGAAATTATCTTGAAAATRGATTTGGATATTTTTGTTGTCATCTTGCACCTGGCTCTCTGGCTGTTCCAGCTGATCAGAAGAGAACAAAGCAGCAGAGTCCTCAAGGACTCCTCCTCAGGGAAAATGAACTCAAAGATTGAACCCGTTTGGCAAAACAGGTTGTTTAGCCATCCGCTCCTAAATGAGAGGAGAGAACTGGAAACAAGGACAGTATAGGACAGATTGTCTCTATTGCCCAAGGAGCAGCAAAGGGGAATATAAACTTCTTTGGCAATAATCTCTGTTAGTCTTGAAGGCCCTGTTTTTCCCTATCATTGAGCCCTCACTTGGTGTCTCTGCAGACCCTTTTTCAAGTGACCAGCTCTTCTGTCAGGTTCTGAAATTCTAAACATGGATGATTTAATGTATTATTGTCAATCCATTTCATTATCTAGTTAAAAAAAAAAAAAAAAAAAAAAGAAAGAAAAAGAACAACAAACCACACTATTGTTGCAATACATGAATGCAAGTTCTTGATTCTTATTTTTCTCTCTTTCTTGCAGTGCGTTTCCCAGGACTCAAAACATACATAGATCCAGACACGTATGAAGACCCTTCTCTTGCTGTCCATGAGTTTGCAAAGGAGATTGATCCTTCAAGAATTCGGATTGAGAGAGTCATTGGGGCAGGTAAAACTATATGCACTGTGAAAACAATCTCTAGGCATGGCAAGACTGCATTTCATAAGTATTAGGAAATTAATTAATTATCAGTGTTTTGCATAGGATTGGGTTTTGCCTGGGTTTTTCTTTTTTGCTTTTTTCCAGATGTATCCAAAACAGTGTGTCGCTCAGCATTTGCCATAGTTATTGTTACATATTCTTGGTCACTGAGGGTGAAGTAAGATCTTTCTATGGGGATATAAGTTCAGAATATAGAAGACTGAGAAAAAGTTGTTCTCAAATAGAAAACTGGAGGAGTATGAAGGAGAAAAAGGAGAGGCTGTCTTGGGATGGCCTTTTCAGTGTGGAGAAGGATCACTGGCAGAGAGGTAAAAGAGGAAGATGGGTTGAGAAGGTGCAGACAGAGTGAAAGGGGATGCCCTGCAATCCTTTTTTATATTTGTTTCACATCTCTTAGTCACTCTAGAAAATAAAGGTATTTAATTATATGTTACTACACTGACTAACATGGAAACATCCCTAGCATTGCTAAAAGGTGTTTTAGGCACTAGGAAATGTCATGCATATAATGCTACAGAAGTAAAACCAGGTCTGTTAGCAGACAGGAGAGAGAAGGTATTGACCTGAAAGTAAAAGAGGAAATTCTGTTTCCCACTGCAGTCCGTAGTGCTGGTACTCCAATTTACCTGATTGCTGAAGCCACGTCATGTGTAGCTGGAGCTTTGCGCCACTGGAATGATGAGCTTGGGAGAGCCCCCAGAGGGCTGACTCCTGCAGAAAACAGTCTGTTTGCTTCCTTCTACTTCTTCATTTTCTTCAGACATTCCATAGTTATTGAGGTCTTATATTATAAAGCAGATTGAGCTACATTCAGTATYTGTGTTCCTGGTGATTTCAAGGCAGTTATATATGACAGACAAGGATTGAGGTAATTGGTTTTAGTTCAGATTAAAATTGTGTCCTTATTCTCAGTTTAATTCATTTTTGTGAACTCCTAACTCAGCTTCTCTTTCCCTTTTCTTGTATGCATAGAAGTGTGTGCTTAAACATTTTATTTTTATGGTTTTTATTTTGTCAAATTATGGGTAATTTGTCAGCTTCAAAAATATTCACCTAACAGGACTGGCAAACAGGTTGCAATGAAATTTAAACCTATTTCCATGCAKAGAAGGTACAGGTTAAATGCATGGCTGAGGCAGGGAGAGCAYAAATTCTCACACAGTTCTTCAGGAGCTGCTAAGGGACATATCAGAAAATTCACAGCAGTGCTAAAGCTTTCTGTGCATTCTAATTCTGTATTGCAGATTTCAACTGGGTATAAAATGGATTTGTCATCACAGGAGAAGTACTTTTAACAGATGTTTACAATTGTCACCTAAGTGARACCAAAAGTCAACATCTTCTCCAAAATGAAATATTAATATCTTTTAACATGACAATTAATAGATGCAATAGTAAATTTATTCTGTTTGAACATTTTATTTTGATCAATAATTCTCATTTTTAACTTCTGCCACTTCAATTTTTCAGACAAAAATTATTTCCATCCAGGAATTAAATGATTTAATTTTGAAATTGCCAAAGTGGAAAACTGCAAATATTTTGTAAAAAAATTCTAGCATTTCTGGTCATAACATTTTTAAAACTGATCTTCTCCTGAAAGCAGTTTCCAGTTTGCTTTTTCAATGGAAAAAGTCATGTCCAAAAGCTCTTTGTTAATTCACTATTTGCAGTTCAAATGGCTGTGACACTCAAGAAAAGTATTTTTTTTTAGTGACATTTTTCAGCTTAACTCTAACCTAGCTCTGTGTCTGAGTTATATTTTAAATTATTTGGTAATTATGTCTTTCTCATACACTTTTTTCTGCCCCATCTCTTTTTGCTATTTGGTTTAAGGCTTCAGTACCTCTTCAAGCAATGAATTCCCAGATGTACTTTGTCAAGTCTGTCTTAAAATTTGCAGTTATCCTCTTATTTTTTTTTTGTTAAAATGTTGAAACTCAAGGGAGAGATCAGCTTTTCAATATTTCCAGGAGTAGACAATATTCTTTTCATAATCTGAMTCTCCTGCAAGTGCTTTCACAGGTGTAATGACTAAAATGGGGAAGTGASTTGAGTTGCCTTTGGTGCTGTAACCTTTCATTTTTATCAACAGCATCTGTCCCCATCCCTTGCAGTAATACCAGGCTCCACATCAGACTTTTCAGTCAGTGACTACTCCTGTTTCACTTTCAGTAACATATTTTGTAGCTGAATGAGAAAAGGGACATGTGCTTTGCACAGACTAAATTTCTAGACTAAATTTCTAGCTCAATTAGCTCCTTTTTGTCTAATATGCAGTAAGATGTATTATGTTTATATCATTAAACCAGGGATTATTTACATTTTTAAAATCTGAACAGGCAGTGAACTCCTATCTTTTTCTCTAGTTGTGACCAGCCATTTCCCTGGAACAAGGAAAAAATGTTGATTTCATTGACATCTGGCTCCTASCTTCYACTTGTTACACATGCAGTCATGAACCTGAGCTGCTGCAGGGTCAACATTTATCTTGTTTATCTTCAGACATGAGCAGCGAGAATGAGATTCTTAGATTTTAAAAATCCCTTTTGTTGAGCCTGTTCCCCTTTGACTTTCAAAACACTGAAAATTCTTTATCTGAACAAAAGTATAAAAAGGCTACTCTGGGGTGAAATCTTGTCAAACTCTCACTGTAAAAAATTCAGTACTTTACGTTACACCAGTGATTTCCATGTAGTGTAGAACAGAATTGGAAGTTATTACATCTTAGGTTTCTAAATGTAGGAACTGCYTGTTCTGGGAGTTGATGATCACTTACTGTCTGTTTGACATCATGTCCCAAAAAAAACTGCTGGTAGTCTTTATGTTCGCCAGTTTATCAATCCCAATATCCAAGGGGACTGAAATTTCTTGCTAATTTTCCAAATCATGCATCAAAAAAAAAGATGAAAGAAACAGGAGTTCCTTCCCCTGCTTTGGGTGTTGTATAGATAATAAATCTTGGAATTGCAAGTTGTTCACCTGCCTCGTTCAGTTTAATTCRCTTTAAGGTGCTTGATAACAGCCTTTTACAGTCCCTGAGGGATGAATACTATTATTTATTAAATTCTGAAGCTGTAGTACTCTTGTATAATCTTACAGTAGCAAAATGGTTTGTTCTGTAATCTATGCTTTCCAAATCAATCTTAAAATGACATTTTGCAATTCTGCAGATTTATTGACCACAAAATTTCTTTAAAATYTGGATATGAAAGCTCTAGTATTTTTGTTTTTCACTGTTTCATCAAGAGAAAGAAATTGGAATTTTTTTCTAATTTTAGGCATTTAAGTTTGAAAAAAACAGCAAGATGCAATAATATCATGGCTTTAGAGATGTRTTGAGAAGATCTTTAGAGAGGATTAATAGACCATGTCTCCTTCAAAACATTCAGGTTTCATTACTGTCTTTTATGGTAGGAATTTACAAGTCCAAATTAGCTACTGCTTTTTCAGTGGCAGTAGTCAGACAAGCAAATTTTAAAGGAAAATCTTCTGAAGGTGAGAGGAGCAAAATCATGTAGGAAAATCCTTACATGACTTCACCTTTTGTCAAAAGATTCCTAGAGCATTAGCCTAAAGGCATCTATTTTCACATATCTGACATTTGCAAGTATCTTTAATTTATTTTTTAAAATTATGTGGAAATAAATTATTGGGGGGAACTGTAGAAAGAAAACCAGGGACACTCAACTTTTTTTGGCTGTTTGGGAAACTGCTAATTCATTCAGAGGTTATGTTCAGCATTTKTTAATCGTACCCTTGCACTTGATGATATCTCTATCATGGAAGTGAAAGACAAGCTATGAATTCGTTCTCTTAATCACTGCACTCTTCCTGGATCTCATTGACTAATAAAACTTCACTTTGTTTTAGTGGAAGAGACAAAACCTAATAACATAAAAGTTGTATGACAAAATCCATTACAAGCCTGTAACATCAGGGAGTTATAATTTTTTGAAGTGAAGTGAAGTTGTGCCTTTAAGGTCCCTCTCTTCTAGATTTGGTTCACATCTGAAGATGGACTGTTACAGAATAGAGCTCTTCTATTTTGTTTACTTCTGTGCTTAAAGTTTAAGGAAAACTATTTCAGACAGCACTCAATGGAGTGTTAAATCCCCCGTTAAATATATATCTGCTTATTACTCGCTTTTTAGTTTTTAGCAGTTCTGATTCCRAAGTGACTGGGGTAGAAAATTTAGATTTGCTGTGAGAGAAACCTGCACTRAGAAATGCTTTGAAATATTTCTGTGAACACTGTTTTTCATTTACTGAATTATGACCCATTGAAAACTGAGCTGCAGGCATCCAAGAGCCTATTTGGTAGGGACCATAAATAACTTCTGAGTGACTTGAAGATCAAAAGAAAGTTGTGATTTCCATACAAACTCCATTAGTAAATGTGTAAGGAGAATGAGGGGAGACACAGATTCTTCACAAGCTYTACAAAMACAGGGAAACATCAGGGGAAACWARTTTTCAGTCTTGTTAYRCAGCTCAGACCAGATTTGCTGAGASTGTTGGCCTTTGGCTGTCTGAACAGGGAAATCTGTAATTAATTTCAAGTAGGTGAGTAATTCAATTTAAATAAATCACGTGCAAGTGCTTTTCTAGGTCATAATAGCATCAAGTACTTTTGAAATGCTTCGTGCACCTGGATAGTCAAGTGTTCTGATAGTCTCAGGGCTTTTCTTGTCTTAAAGGTCTTAGTGCATTTCACCCCAGGGGTAAATRTTGCCATAAGTAGATATTTTTGTTTCGTCATCACCGGAATGAAAATCCAAATGTCATTACATTCATTCTTCAGTTGTATTCCACAAACATATTGATACCAGTGCTCAGTCTCAAAGGAAATCAAGGTGAACCACATTGTGGAGGGCAGAAGGTTTGGCTTTTGCAGGCACAGTACAAATCCCCATGATCTCTTCTGTGGCACAAAGGAAAGGTGGTAATTTGTTGTTTAGTACTGCTGAATATTTTGATTTTCTGGGATGTGATGAAAGTCAATAAGTTTGAATATCCAATCCATTATTTCTTTGTCCACTTCTACGGAATGAGATCTTTGACTATTTTTGTGTCCAGGCACTGTGAGTGATTTAACAGATATTTTATCTATTTAAGGGGAGTTTGGAGAAGTATGCAGTGGACGTCTGAAGACACCAGGAAAAAGAGAGATCCCTGTTGCCATTAAAACTCTGAAAGGTGGTTATGTGGACAGGCAGAGAAGAGATTTCCTGAGGGAGGCGAGTATCATGGGACAGTTTGATCACCCAAATATCATTCGCCTTGAAGGAGTTGTTACAAAAAGTAAGTCATTAATACCTTTCCATAATAATTTTATGCTGTTTTCCCTTTATGTATCATTTAGTATCAAAATCAAGCATTATGTTCGCACTCAGTAGCTCAGAAATCTTCCATATCATTGACAGTCAGTACTGCAAAGTTTGGGACAGTAATARGAAATGCATAGGGTGTCTGTTTTCAATTTGAAATGTTTCATTTTTATTTTTTATAACAATTATCTTCATTCAAGATAAGTTTTTACAGGTTCTTATGAAACACAATGGAAAGGTTGCTTATAAGCAACTGGAGAAAATTATAAATGTCACTGAGCTGACAATGAAGTTAAATCACATAAAATATCAGCTACACTCTTCTTTCTGCACAAGTGCTCACTATTTRTTTAATTGAGGTTTACTGATTTTGGTACCAGAAGAGATGAATTTCCTATTTGAAGAAATAAAAAGTAAACTTTTTGTAACTTGTTGTACACTTGCAAATGATGGACTAAAACTCCAGAATRATCTGTGAAATGTTATACTCTTTATAACCATTGCAGCTACCAAGAGATACCCCTTGCCTCTGAAATCTATCAGGTTTAGTGGTGTTATGGACTTTCTGAAAGGCTGAAATATCTAGTCGTTATTTTTAAAAACTCTAATTAACATGCATGTAATTACCTCAATGCCAACTTTTTTGTAGTAATAAATTAAAAAACTCATGTTATTTCTTTTCAAAATTAATCATTGTCTCAACCAAGCTATGTTGYTGCTAATTTGCAGAAGTTATATTTTTCTTTTAAAGGGAAGTGTTGTGTGTATAAAGAAATGTCCTCTTACCATCACAGTAAACACAATAAATATGTGATGAATATTTGCTGTTTTCACCTTGTTACACTGTCAAAAACTATGTTTGGAAAACACAAGTAACTAAAAACAAAGYTCTCCTCCTGAACTCCTGCTGTTGGAATGTAATTCCAATAGATTTATAGAATGACCTGCCCATGCTCAAATCTGTCTCACTGTGGTTCTAAATTAAGATGATCTTTTKCTTTCCTCACAYAGTATTGCAAGGATGAATTTATTGTKATTTAGGTTTGGTTACGGGACTAAYAAAACCCATTGCATTTCAGGAAAGACACAGCTTAGTCTCTCCATTGCACTCCTGTCAGTAACTGCTCTGTGACAACAGGAACACAAGTTAATACTGGCTGAGCAGCACTGGAGATCCTGTCAAGAGATGTAAATGCATCATTAATTGAATTTAGCTCCTTGATTCACACTGAGCATACCAGCAATTAAATTCCACCAGTCTTCACCAACAGGGGTGGTTTATGAATCAGCACCTCAGGTATGATCAGGATCCATGGGGTGAATCTTGTAGGGTGTGTCTCATTTCTGGGAAAGGTAAAGGGCTGTGGTTTAGGAGCATTGTTTAAATCCAGTAAAGTGGTACAAAGGGAGAGCAGTATCATATCCTTGGCAATGGCATAATCTATAGTACATTTGTAAATTTTCTTTCTGTAATGTCTCATCATCAGTCTAGAGAGAAATCAAGGTTGCATTCAAAAAAAGAGAAACAAACAGATAAATCAGTGCTCCAATATTAGAGTATTTATTTATGCTCTACAGGACAGATTATAGAGAACTGGAAGCCAAAAAACCATTAGCAATTCTGCTTTTAACCAAGGAGTCAACAAACTTTATTTTTGTTGTGTAATGTTTGTTTGAAGGTAATCAAAAAATAGTGGTTGTTACTGTTATAGTTACACTGTCATATAAAAATATACATCTCTCAGATATGAAATACTTAGTGGAAGTTTAAAAGACARTATTTTGTGGTCAGGCAGGATTAAAAAAATGGAACAATTATACAGCTCTAATTATAAAATTAAAATAGGTTACATTAATTATGAACAAAGTTCACCCCAAGGCACTGAAAGTGCAAGTTACATAAATTGTAAAGGACAAGGCTGTGCAGCACTGCTCTGCCACAGGGAAGAAGCCTGAAGGCAGGCTGAGAGATGGATAYGTGCACTCTGCTCTTCCCAGTTTATCCTTAGGATGCTGCCTTGCATTTATACTGCCCCATCATGTGGTATTTAGAGAATAACATGACTTCAGCTTGGAGGAGAACAGTTGCCTTGCGTTTCACTAAGTACTGAGTCTAGGACTACAGAATCCAAATTTCTTATAACTGAAAGGTGTGCTTTCAGGTGTAAAAGGTGTGAAAGTCAGACAAAACTTTGTCCCAGCCAAATTCTTTACGTATTAATGGCATGCTTAAAAGGTGTTTTGTGCTACAACCTAGATTAATAACAACAGAAACTGTTTATCTGATGTGCATTACAGTTCCACTAACCTGTAAAGGCACATTGGATGCAGTGAATTTGATTAATAGATGTGTACTGCTGTTCTTAGCACATGCTTTCCTCTGTGTAACCATTAGTCATTAACTTCTAGCTGTTGCTGGTATCTATTGCATCAGTTTGTAAGCAGTGCCCTCCATTACAGTGTCATTGACTATTGAACAAAAAAGAAAAAGGATTTGGTTGTAATAAGCAGAAGTGCTGTACCAAGTCAATAGCTATTGACTGGGGCAATAACATATTTGCCTGTTCTCTACAAATGAGAGCTTTTATCCGGTACTGCCAGCTAAGCAAATGTTAACTTTTAAATTATACTGCTTTCAGAATTGCTGTGGAATATATACTGTACAGGAGGAAAAAATGCTAAAATAAGCCTGCTCAAAAGTAGGTCTGAAACAGAGTTTTAATTCCCTTTTCTTATTGCTTCATTTCTCATTTGCCCTGTCTGCAGTCCCTAATCACAGAGAGCAGTAGGCAGAACAGTTGCTGTAGCAGAAGCTTTCTGTTAGCAGGGAGTTCATTTCAAGGGCAGTTGGCTGGGCCAAGGCAAATACATCGTGRCTCAGAACCTGGATCCACTCAGAACTCACAGGGGAAACTTCACTCCTGTTTGGTTTTGTTATTACAACACCATTCCTTGCATGGTTTGCCACAAAAGACTGCTCATTGCCTCACAAACTTATCACAGATGCTGGGCACTTTMTAAAAACATCCATGTTTCCTTTCAAACCATATTGGCTCAGTGGTAATTTTGGGACCTCTTTTGGGTGTGTCAGGGCACGCTCAGGTGAGTTTTATGTCCTTGGCCAAGCTGCTGCTATTCCATAAGCAGGTGTAAGAACAATGAGTTCTTTCTCCAGTGCAAACATATGTGATCAACAGGAGAGCTGGGCTCTAGAGAAACARGAGCCTTCCCTTCTACCTCATGTGAAATCCGTGTTGCCAACTATCTGTGAAAAGTCTATCAAGAAAATTAAAGCTATGCCTATAGCAAACATCAGACATCATAACTATATCTACAAAAGGCATGAAAAATGGTCTCTGACTGTTATAACTGTACTGGAAGAAATCCAGACTGGAATCTGTAGATAGTTTAGCTTGATGATTTCTAAAGCCCAGCCTAATTATTACTGTGTCAATACAAAATATCAGTGCATGCCAGGGCTTGATTACATTCCTACACTGTTTGTTCCCCACCTTCCACACACTTTACCCTGAATAACTCCCGATTCTTAGAAATTATTTCTAAGGAATTGCTTCCATTTCCAGATTTTGACTGCTGAAGGATTTGTCCCTGTCATATGTGCAATAGGAAGCTTTTTTAAGGCATTCATTTTCTTTGACATCATTATGTACATTTGTATTCTCCAGAAGGATTTTCAAAAAAGGTCCCTTCACAAAAGGAGAATAAATGAAGACAGCACTTAGACCTTGGGTTCTGTGTAAGCTCACATCCTCAGACACTGAACCTGGGTTTGGAATGACACTTTCAACTCCCTTAATGTCTTCTCACTGTTTTGATTTAGTGGCTTTCAAATTATGAAGACTCTTGCAGTTCTGAAATCTTTAGGTATTCATCTTGCAGATTAAATTTAAAACTTTAATCATTGAGTTTCTTTTTAAATTWTTGTATGTAATCCCTTCAGTGCAACAAAAACTCTAAAATCAGTTCATCTTACCTTGTCAATGAGAGAAACAAAACAGCAGCATGATCCTTTAACTCTACAATTTACAGTATGTAGCTCTTCATATCTGACCCATTTTTTTTTTCAAAAATGCAGAATGATAATGATTTTTTTTTCAGCCAAGRCATTGTGCTGTATGCCTGTAAGCCCTTATTGCTATGAATCCCATGTTGTCTTTTTCTCCAGCCTGTTAAATGAAGTTCAGAATCCATTTCAGAAGGTGACATATTTTGCAGTACCTGGGTTTATTGTACACATAATGTTGAATATTCRGTTGCTGCACAAAGTGATTGAGGAAATTTTGTGGCAATATTGACTTGGTCATAAATGGTGCAATTGTACTTCCAGGAAATGTGATTCTCCAGAGTTTAAATGTTGTTTATGGACAATCCACTGTGGTGGTGAGACCAGTGGACTTTACTTGGGATTGACCATAAAGTTGTTTTTTTCTGATGAAACTTATTTGGAGTTGGGCACATGATGACAGACAAAACAGCAGGATCTCAGCTGCATTATAAATTGTTCAGTAAGTGAAGCTGTAAATTTAAATTTGTCTCACTCCTTTCATTTTCTTTTGTATCCTAATTCATGGATAAATATTGCAACACATTATTGAATCCAGTGTTGGTATGGCCATCAAATTAACACAAAACCCTCAGCCACCACATGCACTGTTAGCCAGATTTGTGAGGTCAATTTATTTGAAGTGTAGCCTAAAATACAGAGCTGAAAGTTGGAGCTGTGCTCATAACACAGACAGCACTAAGTATCTGTGGCCTTCTTGCAAAATAGGTTACCCTTCCTGACTGGCACTCGACGAACATAATTAATGTTGATAGTAATGAGCTATTTTTACACGTGCATGCATGCGTGTGACCATTACAAATTACTGTGCAAACCACCATGCATCCATGTGTTGAAGGTTGTTGGCAAAAGTTAAGAATACACAATGCTCAAATCTCCTGAATGACATA